TTACTTCCTGAGGGGAGGAGGAAAGACTGCGATTTGACATCCTCTCAGGAACTGCCTCCACCCACCCTTACTCAGAGGTAGAATTTACCACCATTGGCTGAAAAAACAAGCATGGGAGTAAACCAAGGGGAAAATCCTTTTGGTGACTGTGCTCAAGAAGGGGGAATGGGGCCTCAGCACTGTAATTTATATGTCTCTAAAGTTCCTCAGGGATATTCTCAAGACGTGTGTAATATGTAGAAGTACACTTCTCAGAGCCTGGATCATTCTGAGCTACACAAATAACAGTCTTCGGCAGGTTTAGCCTATTTGTGTAGCCTTTTGTGTGTTAACTGAGGATTCCGGTTCCTAATTTGGAGTTCCAGGCTGTTTTAATTGCTTTTTTGATACCTTATTCACTTCAGACACCTCCCATGAAAGATGAAAACTTGTGATTTTGATGAAATGTTTTTCTCATTGCATTTTGGAAATGTTTAGGACTGAGTCTCCTAGAAAGTTATTGGGCTAATTCAGCTTTCTTTTGCCGTTTCCTTCCTCTGTTCCACCCTCCATTAAAAAAAATAAAATAAAATAAACAAAAAGTCAATAGAAATTTCATTTCCCCTACACCAACATTCCAGATTTTAAACCGGGGTGTATTTTAGCCCAAAGTGTGTTTTGGCTGTTTTATCTGGGAAATCTGCACATACTTATGAACGTTCCTTTTTTAAAAGCAAGGGGTGTGTGGTGGCACTGTGGTGACATGCTCTGTTATGCCAAGGCCACATGGGAGTGTCCCAGGTTTCCACCCTGAAGTCTCCCAGTATATGCTGGGAAATAGGCCTGTGATTCTGACCACCTCTCTGTCTGAGGTTAGGGGTAGATTGTGGCATGGGAATCCTGTTGGGGTGCCTATCTTTCATGGAAGAAATAAAAAAAGTGTTTCTCAGATTCTTAAAACCAACCTCTATAATTTTTTTTTTTTTTAATGAAAGTGCTTGCAGAAGGGCAGCAGAAGGATGCCTTGTAAGTATAACCATGAAAGATTATGTAATTATCTGGTGCTGGTGGTAGGGATCAAATAAACATTCACCAGAAGACAAAAACTCAAACAGAGAAGGTCAGTGCTTTTCAGAGAGCTGTTCATAATTGCTAACAGACTTCAGAAAAAAATTTTTCTGAACATCTGTAAGAATGATTTTGTATTTTTAAAATATTTTTGGTGGCAGGCCTGCTCTTTTAAAGAAAGGCTGTCTATGAATCTAATCACAGGATGAGATGAGGCAGGGCTTTATATGGATAGAGAGTTATAATGCCAATGGCTGGGTTCAGATTTGAAATGTGGTAGAACAAGAAGTCATTCATAGAGGCTAAGAGTTGAACCCTTCAAATACATCTTTCATAAAGGTACATTAACAGATTCCTTAAGGAATAGTGGGAAATGCAGACTTGGTTAGAATGTCAGCTTTATCATTTGTTATGCCTGGAGACTGGGCAAATTAACCTGCATCTTTCCAAAACTGAAAAATGTGGCTAATATTTTGCAAAGCTGTAGGAATTATCAGTACATAAGTAAGGTGACTACACACTAGTAGACCTACTCTTGGTACATGGTTTATTAAAAATAATTCTTGGGGGCTGGTAGATGTGGTTAAGGTGCTGCACTCCCACATGACCAACTGTTGTTTGAGTCTTGGACCTGGCAGCTTGCTTTCTCACTTTCCCTCTCTGTGTTTCTCTTTGGTGAGTGCATGTACCCTATAGCAATCCTATTTTTAAAGAATTATTTTATCTAACTTTATTTATTTTTAATTTGACCAGAGAGGGACAGATAGAGAGAAAGCAAGTCACCATGTCTAGTACTCAAACCACAGTTGGCCATGTGGGCATTCAGCATTCTTAACTGCCATGCCACCTGCCGGCCCCAGCCCTATAGCAGATTTTTTCAAGCAACAATGAAATTCAATTATTCTTGTTCATCTGATGGTGACTAAAAGTAAAAGCAAAGAATTGCTAAACTCCTTTGGGATATTAGTTAACATTTTGGGGCCAGATGGTGGTACAGTGGTGATAACAATGCTCTGCAATGCAGGACCCATTGGGAATGTCTGAGGTTCATGTCCCAAGGCCTCCCTACATGCATGGCAGGCCCTCCCGTATACCTGGGATCCAGGCTGCCTGTGGCCAGAGGTGGATTGTGATGTGAAAATATGTTGAGAGTTTCTCTCTTTCATGGAAAAAATAAGTAAACTTAAAAATTTTTTTTCCATCTGTATCCAGTATACTTAATAAAGCTTATAAGCTGTACCAAACATAAATAATTCCCTCAACTTCTAACCTCTTAATCCTTGGCACTAAAGCTATTCAGCAAGAATGCAGTATGATTTCCTAAGTTACCTCTATTATCTTCACTTCACTGCCAAATATAGTCTATGAGTAATTTTTAATACTTGGGGACTTAAGAGTTTAGTAGAGCACTGCTATCTAGACTTACAGAGATTGTATTTTTAGCTATATCTTTCCCTGTCTTCACTTTGTCCTTGTGCAGAAGAATTAAAATAGCGGGAACCAGCAGTTAGCGTAATGGCTATGTCGCTGGATTCCCACGTAGTCGACCGCGGTTCATGTCCCAGACCAGTGGCTTAAAACTCATGCAGGGCGTGTGTGCGTGTATACCCAAGATCCTGAGAGGAGAATGGAGGAGAAGGGATTGCGGCGTGACCATCCCCCCTGGGGGGTGATTTCTTGCTTTCTGTCTCTATGTCTCTGTCTGTCTGGTGAGCGCACGTGCCCTATAGCAAAAAAAACAAAAACAAAAACAAAAACAAAAAACCTCTCCAGAAGAATTAAAATAGCTGGTCTAAGACATCTAGCTTTTTAAAGACCTGTGCATACAAGGTTGGCTTTTGGATGGTCTCTGGGAACTTTGGCTTGGAGAGGGTTCCCACCATTCCCTAAATGACTGCCTTAACCACAAATCATGTAACTTGTTCTGAACACTTGCTTTCCTTCTGGGAGTCTGACATTTTGGTACATGCTTATGTGGCCAGTCCCCAGTAAACATTTTGGGCACTGAGTCTCTAATGAGCTTTACCAGTTGGCAACATTTCATGGGTGTTGTCTAACTCATTACTGGAGGAACGAAGAAGCACATTCTGCTTCACTTTGTCCTTGTGCAGAAGAATTAAAATAGCGGGAACCAGCAGTTAGCGTAATGGCTATGTCGCTGGATTCCCACGTAGTCGACCGCGGTTCATGTCCCAGACCAGTGGCTTAAAACTCATGCAGGGCGTGTGTGCGTGTATACCCAAGATCCTGAGAGGAGAATGGAGGAGAAGGGATTGCGGCGTGACCATCCCCCCTGGGGGGTGATTTCTTGCTTTCTGTCTCTATGTCTCTGTCTGTCTGGTGAGCGCACGTGCCCTATAGCAAAAAAAAACAAAAACAAAAACAAAAACAAAAAACCTCTCCAGAAGAATTAAAATAGCTGGTCTAAGACATCTAGCTTTTTAAAGACCTGTGCATACAAGGTTGGCTTTTGGATGGTCTCTGGGAACTTTGGCTTGGAGAGGGTTCCCACCATTCCCTAAATGACTGCCTTAACCACAAATCATGTAACTTGTTCTGAACACTTGCTTTCCTTCTGGGAGTCTGACATTTTGGTACATGCTTATGTGGCCAGTCCCCAGTAAACATTTTGGGCACTGAGTCTCTAATGAGCTTTACCAGTTGGCAACATTTCATGGGTGTTGTCTAACTCATTACTGGAGGAACGAAGAAGCACATTCTGTGAGACTCCACTCCCCTGAAAGAAGATTTTGGAAGCTTGTGCTTTTTTTTGGACTTTGCCTGGACTACCTTTTCTCTGCTGATTCTCTGTATCCTTTTGTTGTCATGAACTATGTGAGTACCACTAAGTGCTCATCAAGCCTAAGGAGATGTATTAGTCTTGGTTCTCCAGAGAAAGACTAGGCTAGGCTATTGTCCAGAGTAAGAACCAATAGGGGGTTGATGAGTGAAACTGGGAAGAGAAGCAAGAGATAGATTGGGATTGAGATCGCCTTACCGTAAGGAATTGGATCAGGTGATCAGAACTTCAAGATCTGCAGTCAGCAAACATAAGATCCAGGACAGTCCATGGTACAGCTCTAGTCCAAGCCTGAAGGCCTTAGAATCAGGAGAACTGATGGTATAAATTTCAGTTCGAATCTGAGTCTAAAGGCAGAAGACTGATATCTCAGTCCCAAGACAGGCAGAGAATTCTTAGTCTTTTATTCAGATTTTCAATGGATTAGGTAAGGTCTACCCACATTTAGGGGGGTGATCTTTAGCTTACTGATTTATATGTTAATCTTACCCAGAAGCAACCTCACAGACACATCCAGAATAATGTTCAACCAAGTATCTACATACCCTGTGGCCAAAATGGACACATTAAAATTACACTCTTGTCTGGGAAATCCCCATAAAAGCCAACTTCAACTTTAGTTCTGTACAGACTAGAAAATCAGCCATCTCTAGCACAGTCCTATGTTTCATGACTACATTGGGTACATTATATCCTTCCCCCAAAATAGACATACTTATCTGAGGTGGGCAAGGCTTGGGAGTTCAGAGCAAGAAAATTTTATTCCAAATGCAGAGAGAAGGTCCTGAAGGGAGGTTAGCATTGTATCCAGTACATACTGAGCATTCAATACATGTTTGTTATTGAACATTACTGTGGAGGGCAGCCAATTTGAAAACGTGATTAAAATATGTGGCCTATAGACACATGCAGATATGCGCTTTTGTAAGCTACTCTAGCAGAGCTATTGAAAAGCATTTATATATGGAAGCAGTATTTGCCTGTTGTTGATGGTTGTCTCAATACCCCGATACTAAAGTCACATGTGTTTATTAAATTGTCCCCCCAAAAAGATCAGAGAAATTATATGGTGCCATTTTCACATCTTCAGAAAATTTACCTCCAAAAACAACTGGCTTTGCACTCCGACTTCTCCTTCCTTATTTTCTTTGCATTCCACTTACTTCTTCCCCATTCCTTTTGCATCCCATTTTCTCCTTTCCCCATTTTCTGCCCTTTAAAAGAATAAACGTTAAGGCTGGTTCTGGTCACAACTTCTCCACTAGAGTAGCTGTGCCCACACAATCCTTGCTATTCTATACTTGTGTGTCTCTGTGTGTTTGTTATTACATCTATTTCTAATCCACAGCCTTCCTCACTCAGAGAAACGTGTTTATGCCGAGCCGGTCCTGGTAAAGTGGTGCCCATTGTGGGGCCTGAGTACGGGGAAAGCATCAGGCGAGTTGACACTCCGTGCAGCCGGCCAAATATTATTGAGTAAGGTAAAAATCCTATAAAATAAAGTTAGAGTAAGAGAAAAAGAGATGCTAGAGTAAAAGAGATACTAGAGTAAAAGAAATACCAGAGCACTAAGTACTATCAATTAGACTAGAAAATTCAATAATCTTTTTCATTCTCCTTTGTTACACTTCTGTCAGTTTCACATCAACAGTCGTATTTGATCCTGAGCAAAATATTTGCCTAATTTGGGACCAGTAGATGGCATAATGGCTACGTCACTGGACTCCCATGTAGTTGACTGCAGTTCAAGTCCTGAACCCAGTGGCTTAAACTCATGCCAGGTGAGTGTGCATGCGTACCCAAGATCCCAAGAGAATGGAGAAGGGATTGTGGCGTGGCCATCCCCCTGGGGAGGGTGATTTCTCACTTTCTGTCTGTCTCTATTTCTGGCAAGCGCACACACCCTATAGCAAAAATCTCTCAAAAAAAAAAATTGCCAAGCCTATTTTCTAAAATGGAATAATACATGTAAAATTGAGGATCAAATGAGTTAAATTTATGTACATTGTTTAATATGTCTAGCATGTTGAAAACTAAAGACGGGCTCATTACTTTGGACTAGGAATTGAAGGTACATAATGAACATGTTGTTTCTCCTTAAAAAAAAACAAGCTCGTCTACCTCATACTAAAGCTCCACCTTTACTCTCCCACTCCAATACCCATTCTGCCAACAGAAGGCTTATGACTTTAAAAAGGCAGATATTCAAGTTGCTTGAGTTCCTATCGTCTAGCTTTCTCACCTCATGCTTCATAGACCAAATTATCTGCCATGACATTGTTTCTTTTAGTGTATCCTGTTTTTGTCATTACCATTTCTTCTGCCTGGAAACATCTTACTAATGCAAATATCCATTCTGTCTTTGGAGGCCCAGTTCACACCACAAAACTCTTATATTAATTATATATTAATCTATTTAGCAAGTATTTTTTCAGCGACTTATATATACTAGCAAATGTTCTATGTGCTTGGTATACATCTGTAAATAAGACACAGCTCCTACTCTCAAAGTGTAAATGCTAGTGGGGGGAACCAGCAGTTAGTGTAATGGCTATGTCACTGGATTCCCACGTAGTCGACCGCAGTTCACGTCCCGGACCCAGTGGCTTAGAACTCATGCCGGGTGCGTGTGCGTGCGTGCCCAAGATCCCAAGAGGAGGAAGGAGAAGGGATTGCGACGTGACCATCCCCCCTGGGGGTGATTTCTCGCTTTCTGTCTCTCTCTGTCTGGCGAGCGCACATGCCTTATAGCGAAAACCTTTCAAAAAAAAAAAAGTATAAATGCTAGTGGGGAGGATAAACAGTAAAACAAACAGATGGGGCCAGCCTGTGGTATGGTGGTGAAGGTAGCTGGATCCCACATGGTTAAGTCCCAGACCTAGCAGCTTGAGATACATTCTGGGTACCTGTATTTGTGTGCCCAATTTCCCAAAACAAGAGATGGAGAAAGGATTGTAATGTTGTCATGCCTCATAGGGGGTGCTTTCTCACTTTCTCTTTAGTGAGTACATGTGCCTGCTGGCAACAGTTAAAACCAAAACCCAAACCAAGCATCACTAAGTACTTTGAAAACAACATACATACACTTTCTATTTAAAAAGTACAAGCTCAAGAACTGGAACCATGTCTTACTCAAAATCTTTGTTATACCCACATAGCACCTTATACTTAATACTGTAGTTTTAGATAAATAATGTTTTGGAGATTTTTTTATACTGTCAAATTGCTAGAGCAACAGAACCCACATTTAAATTCAAGAAACTGCAGTCTTTTGTGCTTACTTGTGCACAATCTGTTGCTTAGAAGTCAAAAGGTTGAAGAGAAGACATATATTTTCTAAAGTATTTTTTTTTTGCTAAACATGTCTATCTCTTTGGCAGCCTATTAAAGAGTACAGGTTCTGATTTGGAGTCCTGAGTCCAAATGTTGACTCTGCTAACAATGTTAGTTACACAAATGTAAAATGAGGAGTACCTACAGTATAGAGTTGTTAATGAGAATCAAATGAATTCCTCGAATATAGTAAGTACCTAATAGTATCAGCTATATGTTACTATGAGGTAGGAGTGTGCTTGATTTGAATATCCATGGACACGTCTATGAGAATACAGGCATTTCTGGATGCTTCTAGAAGAAAAACAAGGAGTTTGGAACACAGTCCTTTTTGAAAAAAATAAAGGTTTGATAAACACTTTAAAGAATTCAGAAAAGATCCAAGTTTTCCTCCAGATTTATTGAACATAACATCTATATACAAAATGACCTGGACATGCTGCTTTAAAACATAATCCTTTCTTATTAGCACAGTATCTTGATAAGTCCAGTCCACAGAATGTTAAAAAGCAAGTTTAAAATAAATAGAAAAGTGCCCAATGCACCTTAAATGAATGGCCTAACTACCAGAAATTTCAATCATTTTAGTAAGATAATTAGCACAGGATCAATTCCCTCTCATAAACTGCAGGAGAACTGATAAAAGATGTCAAGAGGCCATTTTATGCACTGCAACTGTAATGCCATCATGTTTCTGGATCATAATGTTCCTAAAAGGCAAAGAAGAACATTATAAATGAGTTTTCAGGGTAAGATTAAAGATGATATTTGGTTTAGGACATAATATTTTTCCTATGTATAGCAGCAATATATGAACACAAAATTGGGAAATTAAAAAACTATATAAAATATATAAGTGAATTCTTGATCCTGTTACTCAGAGATAACCACTGTTAGTATTTTCTTGGTTCTTTTTTATCCACATGTATACTATACACATACACACACAATTTCTTTTCACAAACTGATCATACAGTGTAGTTTTGTACTGTGATTTTCTTTGGTTATCATTAGTCTGAGGACCCTCATTTGGAGTATCTTTAGTATTTCTAAATATTACTTTAGACATAGGTTTTATGAAGAAGCCAGCAGGTGGCATAGTGGTTAAGGTACTGGACTCCCACATGGCCACCCATGGTTTAAGTCCCGGATCTGGCAGCTTGAAACGCATGACAGGAGTCTATGTGTGTGTGCCCAAAAATCCCAGAAGGGGAGTGGATAAGAGATTGTGGTGTGGCCATCCTCCCAGGGGGTGATTTCTCACTTTCCCTCTCCATTGTCTCTCTTTCTCCCTCCAGTGAGCACTTGTACCCTATGTTAAAAACCTTGAAAAACCCTGTAATAGTTATTAAGCTTTGATTACTCTTCCTTTGTAGTGTTTTTCTTTTTTGTGGCAGATGAGACTAATGGTCCATGATAATGATTCTTTTAAATGTCTTTTTGCTTTGAAAGCACTTTAATGCTGAGGATGATCTACCTGCTCCTGTGGTTGAAAGGGTCAAGAACATTCCTCAAAGGGCCCTGAATGAGGAATCACAAACACTGGGGTCTCGAGACCCTAGTCATGTTTCTCAGGGATATTTTCTGAACAAAAAGGAAAGGAAGCGATCTCTTGACATTTACTCACCCATTATCTGATTCTAGACACACCACAGGAATATCAGTGGGGTCAGAGGTTAGCTTGGCTGCTTGCTGGGCTAAAACCGATATCACCCCGGCATGCTCATCTGACAGGGTCCCACGGCCTGGAAAGTAGACGATATGTCACTTAACTGTCCAAAAATGAGTAGGAAGCTGTAAGTGTATCTGAAATTACTGAATTATTCACAAAAAAGTTTCATTCATGGTTTTTTAGGTTAGGTACTAACATGAAATGATTTTTCTGATATCTGGTTATAACAATAAGGAAGTTGGACTTAAATCAATAAAGTCAACTGCTAACTCAGTTTTCAGCCATTCCCATCACTATCTCTAAACACTGTGTCAAGTATATAAGGAAGATTTAAGTCAAGTCAGTCTGCAAGTCATAAATGTTCATTTTAGAAAAGCCTCACTGAAACCAACAAATTAAGAGGTAAGACGGACAAAAAGCAGTCAGTAAGCACAAGAGACTTTTTAAAACAAATTAATTCCTCACAGGAAATCTAATTCCCTTTTACTGAGCTCAACCTCAAAAGATATAAAAGTTAAAAGTATTTACAGAAGTTCAGCTGTAAGATCACCTTGACAGCGTGTAATAATACTCTGTAAACAGTTACTTCTCCTATAATAAGCTAGGTGGGTGCTTAAATGGTAACAGGTTCATCTTTTTATTAAAGTTTTAATCTGTAGGCAACTAAATCTTGGGTCCCAGGCACAAAAAAGAATTACTGAGTCTATAATGTATTCCTGTATGTATAGGTTTAACTGCCTGAAACTAAGGTAACAGACATGCCACTATGGCAGAGCCTCCAGGATTTACTATTACATAAAACACTAACCAGTCAGAAATGCAGTTTTTGGGTCATGAATGCTTCTTGAAGGAGTTCATTTAGTTTGAGATTTCCATATTTGAATTTCAGTCTTCCCTTTAGGTTGACAAGTGCTTTGAACAATCTGCCATTTTTCTCTCAAATGACAGATCTGTATATGTAAAACATAACTGAGTTACACAAACTTACCTCTTTCAGTTGTTTTCCCGGCAAAAATCTTAAGGCTTAAAAATTCTTGAAGGGCTGGTCCCCTAGCTAATTGGTTAAGGGAGCCAGATTCAGTAGCCCACAGTTCAAATTTCAGCCCCAGCATCTTGGAAAAAAACACTAGGTGCATATGTGTGCACACTCCAAATTCCAACAGGGTGAAGTTGGGAAGGGATTATAGGGTGACCACACCTCAGTGGCAGCGGGCTTTGTCTTTGGCAAGTAAATGTACCTTCTAGCAATTAAAAAAATTCCTGCATTGTGGGACCAGCAGTTGGCATAACGGTGATGTTGCTGGACTCCCATATAGTCGACCATGGCTTGAGTCCCGGACTCGGTAGCTTAAACTCACGCTGGGCACATGTGCATGCATGCCCAAGATCCCTAGAGGAAAATGGAGAAGGGACTGAGGCGTGGCCATTCCCCAAGGGGGTGATTTGTCACTTTCTGTCTCTCTGTCTCTGTCTTTCTGGTGAGCACACGTGCCTTACAGCAAAAACCTCTCAAGAAAAAAACAATTCCTGCATTGTAAGTAAGAACTCCTGGGTAAACCTGTTCTGACATTAACTGAATACTTTACTTACCATTTTGAACTGACTTATCTGTAATTGCCATCATTTATTGAGCATTATGTCTGGACTCTGCTGTGTTTTATACATACAATCTTGCAGTGTTGTGATTAAGAGAATTTGGAATCACATGCAAATCCGAACACTTATGTGTGGCCTTGGTCAAGTTACTTAATCTGTATCTATCGTACAGGATGGTTATGAGGAATAAATGAGTTAGTATATGTAAAGCACTTGGAATAGTGTCTGGCAAAACAACAAAAAAAAGTTCTTTTTGGTACATGTTCATCTGGAAGAGAAGGGGTTGAACTCAAGTATGGCCAACTCTGAAACCCTTTTATTGCTCATTCAAAGAGTTAAGTGTAGTTGGACTGAAAAATAGCCCCACTCGGCTTGCGACGTTATTGTGAAAACTGGAGATAATGTATATAAAGCCCAGCAGTCTCAGCATATGGCATGCACTCAATAAATGGCAATGGCTGTCACTACATGAAGTCCTTTCTAGACCCAATTTAAAATGATTCAAATACTATTTCAGTGTTTGAACTACTGAGTCCCAGAACTGTAAGGAACTTTTCTACTTTCATAATACCAGTTGAAAAGTCTCTAATTTTCTAATCCTGTCATTTAGAGAAAATCTATACTCTCACAAAGGTACCCAGAAAGTGGCAGATTAGTAGGAAATAAACGCTGGAGAATACACAGTAGGTGCCAGATCAACATCAGACTGTGCAATCCATAGGGTTAATATGAGATACTTACAGCCCAGATAATCCAGAGGGTTAATATGAGATACTTACAGCCCAGATTAAGTCCTTGTGAATCTGTGCACAGAACTCCAACAATGGATGGATTTTTCATTCTAATTCCAGGAAAACAGAGATGAAGCAGATGTGAGAAAATGGATTTAAATAACTATAACACATACAGGTTTTCCATGTACCAGCTACTGTTGTAAGTACTTTAAGTTGGTATATTTTTTTGGAGAGGTTTTCACTATAGGGCACATGCGCTCGCCAGACAGACAGAGAGAGACATAGAGACAGAAAGTGAGAAATCACCCCCCAGAGGGGATGGTCACGCCGCAATCCCTTCTCCTCCATTCTCCTCTCGGGATCTTGGGCACACATGCACACGCGCCTGGCGTGAGTTTTAAGCCACCAGGTCCGGGATGTGAACCATGGTCGACTACGTGAAAGTCCAGTGACATAGCCATTATGCTAACTGCTAGTTCCCTTTAAGTTGGTATTTTTCAAAATGTTTTATTATTGCCCCATGAGAAAGATTAAATTAAGCCATTTTCTCTTTGATGAGCTCTGGAGGGTCATAAACATTGTAATACCTAGATTCCCTGCCACCCCAAGTTAAAAATACATGCTTCAGGGGCCAGCAGGTGGCAGTGGTAAAGATGCTGAACTCCCACAAGACTGACTGCAGTTTGAGTCCCACACCTGGCACTTTGAAAATCACGCTGGACACGTGTGCCCAAAATCTCAGGAGAAGGGATTGTGGCATGGCCATTTCCCCTGGGGGCTGATTTCTCCAGTTTTCCTCTCACTGCCTCTGGCAAAGCGCATGTGACCCTTACTTAAAAAAACAAACCAAAACAAAACAAACAAAACAAACAAACAAAAAAACCTTACTTAAAAAAAAAAAAAAAAGCCTGGCCTCGGAGCTACCCAGGGTGTACTGATACTGGGGGCCATAAGGTAGCTCCTGAGTTTAGATGGAAGGTGGACCTGAAGGCTGGGGGGCAGTGAGGGGGTAGAGAGGTAGCCAGGTAGTAAGACTCTGCCGGGGTACTTGTCCTTGTCTCTCTCCTCATAATAAATAAAATAAACTTCTAAAAAGGTATGCTTCAGTATACTAACTTATTTGAAATGACTGTTGTAAACTCCCTGCGGAAGCAGTGGGACTCCGGTGGGGAGGAGGTGTTTCCCTGTAATGTTTTCTTACACTTTTCCAATTTTGGGTTTTATATAGATACTACTCATTCGAAAACCTTAAGGGATGACTTCTAATATTTTCAGTAACTAAAGTAACAGGTTGTACACGGAAGGAGACGCGTGTGTTTACATCATGGGCCCTGATTTCCCACCCCTGGTACATCATTCCCGAAATTAACCCGCTTCCTCAAACTCCCAAAGACCCACCACTCTGGCCATCGTCCGATTTCAACCGGCGAGGCGGGTTTGGTCTCCAGCTTGGGCCCCTGGAAACGCCGGGTCGGGGAGTGTGCGGGGCCCGGCGGCATTTTAATTCCGGGTTACCCGCTCCACCTTCTGCGGCCTCGGAGCTGGACGCGCTCCCCATCCCGCGTACAGGGCGTCGCACGGCGTCTCCACGACGACCGGTCACCGCTCGCAGGTCCCGCCCTTTGTCCTGCTTAAGTTCCCCCGCCGTGGCCTCCGACGGGCCAGGAGGGCCGCACTACTCACGTGTCCTCCAAGTGCTGCTCCAAAGTCGCCTCCATCCCGGCCGCCGTCTACCCCAGGGTAGCGCTCCGCAGCGCCTAGCGTCAGGATCCACCACAGGCCTCGGTCACGGGACGCCAGCTGGGCGTGGACGGGGACGGCGCCTCCAAAGGGACAAAATTTATCGCAGCGCAACGTCCCCGCGTTCTTCCCCGGAAGATGCCGCTACGTCCTGCCGCACAGAGCCTAGCGTTTCCTCTGCCCGCGCGCTGAACCCGCGCGGGCTCTGCCTCACCTGGGTCTCTGTGCCGCGGCACCTGGCCTGCACACTGTCTCAGTGATTTTTAACCTTTAGATTCCGGGTCAAACGATTTTGAAACCTGGGCCAGATCTCAAGTTCCCAGCAACCGGGCTTCGGCCAGGCGGTTTCTCAGCTAGGCAGTGGGACAGGTCTGCTCGGAAGGGGCCCACACGCTTGCTGGGGAAAGACCCACCCAAGGCACTAGAGGATGAAATGGAGAGGTTTAAACCCCAAGCGGGGTGCTGGTCAGGGTCGGAATTGTAACGAAGATATTAGTACTTCCTATGGCCAGAGCTCGGCCAAGTTGTGCCGAACAAAGTGGTGTTTGAGCCCTTACTCGAAAGACTGGGTAGAACTACTTAAAAGTAAAATTTTAAAAATGAAGAGAGTTAAGTATAGAAACAGTGGTTAAACTAAGGAAAGGAGACCACCCGTAGTCCCTCTTTGTAGAGATGATTTATGAATCCCTTGGAGGCTATTCTTTCAGATGGTTGTTTTTGCAAATGTAGCAATTTCTCTTCCTTTCTTCCTCTCTCCCTTTTCTTGCTCTTTCTTTAATTTGCTACAGGGCAGGTGTGCTTGCAGGAAAGAGAGGTTTGAAAGCCGCCTCTCCTGTACTCTCTCAGGGATAGCTACACTGCCATCCCTTTTCTTCCATTCTCTTAGGATTTTGGGCACCCGGGCACACAGGCACACAGACTCGGCGTGTTTTTCTAGCCAGTGGGTCCAGGACTGGAACCATGCAGTCAGCCATGTGGGATCCAGCTGCCTGAACCCCAGCACCCCTGACTTTTAAGCAAAATTGAAATATATACTGAACATAATGAATCTGCAGCTGGCCTTCCTCACAGAACAACCTAAATGTCTTTTTGTGTCAGTAAGTCTTTACTTACATTCTCTGTATTAATTGCAAAATATTCCATGTGATAGTAGTACAATAACTGATTTAACTGACCTCTTGCTAATGTACAGTTAGTTTCTTAAAGTGGCTTTGTTTGGTTTGTATTTATTTATTTTGGCTATTACAAATGTTGTGTGAATATTCTAGCTAAATTTTGTGCACTTTTAAACTTTTCCTTAGGATAAGTTACTAGGCATGGATCAAAGAATATGAACATTTTTAAGGCTTTCTATGTACACTTAAAAATTGCATCCCTCTGCCCTAGGAAGCTAGTGCCATTTTGCACTCAGATTGGTAGCGTTTTGATAAAAATGACACTGTCCTTCTCCATAGCCCCATCCTTATATACCTCTCCTTGGGTTATGTGTCCTCCAGTCCGCTCACCTCAGCTTTTACTCACAGTCTACCTTCCAATCTGGGCCCAGCACTAAGCCCCTGCCTGACTTACAGAGTCCTTCAGCCATTAGCTTGCAGTTTCCTTGAACTTGTAGTTAGAGTGTTGAAACTCAGGGCTTCTGGACTCTCACACTGGAGAGAGTATTTATGTTAAGTTACAGGTAACACACTATGGGCCTTATGAGTTTTAGAAAAATCAGTAGAAACCCGTCTCTTGGCCCAGTAGAGGTGGCACACATTGCTAAGATGCTGTGCTCCACAGGTTGTAACCACATGGAGGCCTGAGTTTGATTCCTGGTCCAATATCAAGGCTAGGTGCAGCGGCATATGGCTGTGATCCCAACCAACTGGGAGGCCAAGGTCAGATCCTGAGCTCACAGCCAGTGTAGGCAACACAGTGAGGCCCTGTCTGAAAGGGCTGGGAGTGGTGACACACACCTGTAGTTGCTGCTGCAGGGGTGTGGCAAACACACACACGCACACACACACACATGCACACACAAACGCACACTCTTCTCTTAAAAGGTATCATCAGAAAACCTAAGTGCTAAAGGTGCTGACTACTCCAAGCAAAGTTTGCTTCAGTAGTCGGAGCCCACCTGCTTCTTGCCAGTCACCTGAATGCTCTGCACTACGGTACCGCCCCCTTGCGGTTCCATGTAGCATAGCTTTCCTGGGTGAGGTGGGTGGTCTCTGCTAGGATTTTTAAAATTTCCCCCACACCCGCCAAACAGAAATAGGATGCCAGTCACACCTGTCATTTTAAATGCTCTACTAGCTACATTAAAAAAATAAAAACAGGTAAAATTAATTTTAATAATACATCGTATTAATCCCAACCATATATTCAAAATATTATGTCAACATGTAATCAAAAATATTTGTACTTTTTTTCCTCCCGTGCTAAGTCTTCAGAATCCAGCGTGTATTTTACACCCACAGGTTTATTTCAGTGCAGACTAGTCGCATTTCCTGTGCTCATAGCCAGTGTGGCCCAGTGACTACTGTACTGGCCATGCAGTGTCAGAGGACCTCAGAGGATCTCAAAGCCCGATCACTGATTAAAGATCCTCAGAAAGCCTGGTGATTCATGTTAAGCTGGAAGGAAGGTTTCTGAGGGGAAACCAAAGTAGGGAGAGGACGACCACCCCTTCTTTGCCCTGCTGTGCTTTTGCCCCGGGGCAGGGACTAGCATATAAGCTGGGTATTGCTGGGGGCTGGGGTGATGGTTAGGGGAGGTGTCTGATCCTTACTTCTGCTTTCTGTAGCGTGTGGGGTACTTAATGATTCTTTATTCTTGGTTTTGTGTGTTGGTAGCAATTTCTGGGGTGACATGAAAAGTTCCACAGCACCCATATTAGAGTACTTGCCTCATTGTATTATAATTTTATTTTATTTTTAAATGGTTTTAAGAATTATTTAACTTTATTTATTCACTTATTCATTTTAATTTGACCAGAAAGGGACAGAGTGAGTGAGAAAGAGAGGGAGGGTGGGAAAGCGAGAGAGCAAGCCACCAGGTCCAGGACTTGAACCATGGTTGGCCATATGGGAGTCCAGTGCCCTTAACCACCATGCCACCTGCTGGCCCCTGTATTGTAATTTTATTGCCAGCACATGCACTTTTCAGAAAGAGAGGGAAAAAGCACCCCCAGTGGAACATGGTCATGCTGCCATCCTCCCTCCATTTCTCCATCTGTCAGGATTTGGGGCATGCACAGATGCGCAACCTGTTTTCAAGGCACGTAGGCTGGGATTCAAACTATAGTCTGCCATGTGGGATCCAGATCTCTTTATCACTGAGCTACAGAGTCAGCCCTGCAATTTTTAAAAATATGTGTTTCCTTTCCAAAGATAGGAAGAGTGTGTTCTCGACGTCTGTATCCCGTGTACCACAAACACAATAGAAATTCAATAGATATTTATTGAGCTTGGAGCCAGCAGGTGGTGTGGTGGTTAGGGCACTGGGATCTCACAGGCTGGCCACAGTTCCAGCGCTAGGCCTGGCAGCATACTGTCCCACTTTCCTTCTCTCCCTCTGGTGAGCACACATGCCCCATAACAAAATTTAAACAACAATAATAATAATGGAATAATATAATTAAATAAATAATTGTTTTAAAAATATTTATTGAGTCTTAATGGTGTCTTTGGAGAAAAGGATTCTGTGTAGTGTAAAGACGCTTCAGATCCTGAACTTTAACTGCTTTTATGCTCTTCTTTCTCCTCTCCTTCATAAACGAGCTCTTGAAAAATGAAAACCCCAGGAGGGTCCAGCAGATAATGCCCATGCCCATGTGTCCTGATTGGGAAGTGGGAGATTAGAAGCAGGGAAGGGGCCCAGACCATGCGTGTCATCTCACTGCTGTTAGCCTCTCAAGGAGTCATTAAAGGAGTGCAGCTCTGGGACTGGCCCTGCAGTGCTTTTTTTTTTTTTTTGGAGAGATTTTTGCTCTAGGGCACATGCGCTTGCCAGC